TGCCAAACACCTTCTTAACCATCCTGTCTATATGTGATGCAAACTTCAAAGAATTGTGTACCTGAACCCCTAAGTCCTTCTGTTCTACAACACTACCCAAGGCCCTACCATTAATTGTATAAGCCCTACCCTTGTTTGTTGTATCACAATGTAATACCTCACATTTATCCAGATTGAACTCCATCTGCTATTTTTCAGCCCATTGACCCATTTCATCAAGATCCCTTTGTAATCTTAGGAAACTTTCTTCACTGTCTACTACACCACCAATTTTGGTGTCATCCGCAAATTTACTAACCATGCCTTCTATATTCTCATCCAAATCATTTATATAAATGACAAACAAAAGAGGACCCAGCACCGATCCACATGGAACACTGCTGGTGACAGGCTTCCAGTCTGAAAGGGGGCAACCCTCCATCATTATTCTCTGTCTCCTGCCGTTAAGCCAATTATGTATCCAATTGGCAAGCTCACCGTGAATCCGATGTGACTTAATTTTACTAGTTAGTCTGCCATGCAGAATCTTGTCAAAGGCTGCACTAAAATCCAAAGAAATAATGTCTACTGCTCTGCCATCAACTATATTTTTGGTAAATTCCTCAAAAGACTCAATCAAGTTTGTGAGACACGATTCTCCTCACACAAAACCACGCTGACTATCCCTAATCAATTTTTGCCTCTCTAAATGTCTATAAATCCAACCTTTCATAATCACCTCCAATAATTTACCCACAACTGAAGTCAGACTCACAGATCTATAGTTCCCCAGTTTCTCCAGTCATCAGCTGCCACACCAGTAGTTATAGATGATGCAAACATTTTTGCAAGGCATCTTCTCTGCAGCTGTAGAACTATATTCTGTTCTATTACCATGATGTACTTTAGTAGGGTATGATTTGCCTGGATAGCACACAAAACAATACTTTTCATTGCAACTCGGTACATGTGACCACAACATATCAAAGCAAATCAAACCAAGGACTCCTTTTAAGGGCTTCAATTTGGCTTCTAGAAAATATTTTTTCTTTTGTTCTGAGGGACAACCTTTAATTTGCATTCAAACAGTAACATTCCCTTCTGTATTGGTATTGATGAATGGGGGATTTAGACTCAGAAGCAGAATTAGAAGAATTCATCACTATCCTCAAGGACTATCAATCCAATTAAAATTAAAACACAACACACAAGAGAAACATCAATTTCAGAGATACTAAAGTGTTTAAATTGATGCAACAAAGCATCGCTAAGTAACAAAAGGAACAGTCTTTTGCAAAATAACTGATAGACAAAAAGCCACCATCTTTTGCAGACTGGTGGAATCACAGTTAATAGAGTCATAGAGTCGCAGAGTCATACAGCACCATGTTTCCAAAGCTGAAACATTTTAACCAGGCAGTTGCTACATATTTTTTTACTACATCTCAGATCTTAACCTCAGAATTAAATTTAACAGTACTCATGACAATGACATCCACAATATTTTCACCTTGTGGATACTGAGTATTTACAGCCTTAAGTCAGAGATGCCACATTCATTTGTAAGTAATTCATTACCTCAGTGATTCCATGTTTCCCTCAGTCCTGGTTAGCTGAGTGTTCCTTGGTTGGCATGTTTAAAGTTGTTCAGTCTTCTCTGCAGCTGCCCTCTCTTCCCTGCTGTTGTAGCTTCTCTCTCTCCAAGTCTCTTTCAGGTTACTGGTCTTCACCCAGCTTCTGGTGGCCTCCCCACAATCTCTTGCAGCCTCCTGACTCTGCCCAGCACCCATCCTGCACTGTCTACCCCTTGGCTCCTCTGATTACTGGATATTTCTCTTATATGTGTGTTCTGGATAGGGTCATAGTAAACCTATCAGCAGCAAATACAAGAAGGAACCAGTCTATGATGGGGAAAACACTATCTCTGGATTGATCCCTTCCATCCTGGTGCTACTAGCAAAATATTTGAGATCAACTTCAGGCTGTGCATCCATATTAATCCCCTACATCCCCTGCCCATTCTCTGCTTTACCCCACAGATAATATCAAGGAGTGCTTCTGAATTTTGTGGATAAGAAAGGCTTGAAATTGAAGCTGTTCATCCTGCAGTCACCAGGACAAAACGCAAGAACCCAAATTTCAAATGACCGCACCAATTTATCCTCCAGGAGAAAAGGGGTTTCAACCCTGAGTGTGGCTTTTAGCTCCACAGCAATTAGTTTATGGTAATCAGTCAAACCCAAAATATGGTTGTTACACAATTCAGAAATGATGAATGATCTCATGCAGAGATATGCAAACAAATGGAATGTGTTCAGGCCCCTTGCGCCTGTTTGAATTACTCAGTAGCCTAGAAATCCCACCCGCTGCTCTCTCCATGGCAATGGCAAAGCCAATCGCATTGGACTAGGCAACCAATCAGTACCCTCCTTCACCAGTAGCATGTTGCGGTCATGTGGCATTCTTGTGATTGTCCTGCCAAATGCAAGATGAGAAACCTCGGCAGTCTGTTATTTCGGGGAGATTCAATGTTTTTTTACCACCATTTCTCTGATGTCCTCTTGACGACGACACACTGGCGCTGGGCTCTGATTTCCCCATTTCTGACACACTGTCGCTGCTGCAAAAAGGTGTCACTGTGGTCCTCTGCTACATAGCATGTTGTGATAACAATACTGGCATGATGTCCAACCCCTTTAGTAAGGGAGATGAACCAGGTTCACTTGCAAAGCACATCACCTTTACCGAGTCAAGGCTTCTCATTTATTTTGACATAAAAGGTCAGAACAAAGCAAAGGATTTCTTTTAAGCATTCTGATTGTCAATACTTCACAATACACTTCAATTGCAGCATCAAAATATACAGTATTGAAACACACAACTCAGGGGCTGTCTCCATCGAACTGACTAGGGTGCAGCCCGCGGACTGTTATGGTCAACTTGCACTATAAAATCAAGCCTTTTATTTCAACATAATTTCGTAGACTGGGAAAAGAACAAAGATATTTCTGAAAACCTCAATCACATGCCAGTAAGTCACTGAACTCACTAAGATTGACGGAACTTTCCAAACTGCATGCAGAAACACACACTGGCCAACCTGTTCAGACAGGTCTGGGTGGGGATGGAGGGAGAGGGGTAAGGGTGGGGTTGGAGAGTGGCTTTTGGGTGGGAGCAGGGCATGAAAGTGGAAACTTGATCATTTACATATCAAACGTTGGCTCTTTACTGTGCTTCAAGCGTTTCCGAAAAGAAAAGTAAAAACAATGTTGAGTCCCAGGGGTGGCCGCGTTCTGCATAACACAGCAGCGACACCTCCACCAACCCCTCCCCACCCTCACCCCCACCCAAGGAAATGTCCTGCTTGCACTGCAGTCAGACCAGGCTCCATCAAGGTCCCAAAACTCTGTCCATGAGGATTTCTGTCCCAGTTTGAAGCAGGTCTCCTCAGATTCTTGAGAGATGCACAAAAGTAACAGGCAATTGGAGATTTTTATAAAATAAAACACACACAGGACTGTTCTGCTTCACTTGGTGGGATGGCTTTCAGTGATACGTTCTCCGCCCCCTGGCCCGGGGAGGGATGGTGGGGTGTGTTTGCAGTTAGCGCAATTTCCAGGGAGTGTGTCCATAAGTAGAGCCACATCAGGAATGGGAGTGGCCATTCTTCCATCCTCTGTCCCTTGCTGTCTCCTTGGCCCATCACTTTTCTCAGGACCAGGGAGTGGGAGCAAGAACAGGAGCAGGAACAGGGAGCACGGATCAGGGAGTAGGAGCAAGGAGCGGGAGCGAGAACAGGAGCAGGAACAGGGAGCAGGGAGCAGGAGCGGGAGCAGGGAGCAGGAGCAGGGAGCATGGAGGAGGGAGCGGGAGCAAGAACAGGAGCAGGAACAGAGAGCAGAGAGCAAGGAGCGTGGAGCAGGAGCAGGGAGCAAGGAGCGTACAGCAGGAACAGGAGCAGGAGTGGGGAGCAGGGAGGAGGAAGCAGGAAGCAGGTGCAGGAAGCAGGAGAGGGTGCAGGGAGCAAGGAGCGGGTGCAGGAACAGAAGCAGGAAGCAGAGAGCTGGAGGAGTGAATGGCATCCAGGAGATTCATCCACAATGCAGTCTTTTCCGTAATGACAGTGAGGCTCTGTCTCCGCCTTTTCCATTCAATAGTGCCTCAGGAAGAGGGGGAGAGGTGGAGATAGAGAGAGGGTAACATGCCCATGTCTATGTGAAGGGAGCTGAATTACCAGGGGCTGATAGCACCAACTGTCTCCCACCCCCTCACAATCCAAAAATGAACATAAATAAAAATCCCACTCTGCTGAGAGGTGTTACCTGAGAGAATGGCAGCTCTTTAATCTCAGGGTTTCTCTCTCTGTCTGTGCTGGTCAATCCAGCAACTGCACCCCCTCCCCCATCTTCCCCCCCCCCACTTCTCTTCTCCCTCATCGTCCTCCCTCCTCCTCATCCCCCCCCCCCCACCTTCCTTGTTCTCCTCTTCCTCCTCGCTGACCCTGCTCCACTACCCCCTCCCCTCGCTGGTCTAAGACTGCCGACCCCACTCTCCCAAGTATAGCACTGCCCCCCTCCTCCCACGTCTAACACTGCGCCT